GACGGCTTGCAGATGGTACGAGAGACGTAAATCACATAAAATCTAACAGACAAGTTCGACCTAGCGACCGTAAGAAGATTCGAACCTAGATCATTTGACATAGACTCACTTTGCTCCAACCCCTAGATTATAATTGGATATTTATAAAAAGTTAGGGCTCGAGTTGAATATTTTAATAAGAATGGATAAGAAATTGAGAATTTGTGAATAAATAAAAATGATTGAAGTAGTCATATATAGCAATAAAAAAGAATAAATAAACAAATAAATAAAAATGAGATACACATCCACGTTGTCCTCAAATTGGTTTACTTGATGGTTAAGATTTTGTATATTTGATGAATAAAATTTACTAGAAATAGATAGCTTCATCTCTCAGCCACGCAATTGTGTGTGAACAAGCATGATTCTTCGTGTAATATCAAATATGTCCATATATATAAAAACTTATGAAATTATTATCATTTAATTAAATTGAGTGGTAAATATTTGATTTGGTCAATGGAATTGGTTGACTTTCCTCTTATAACTCAAATTTTAGGTTACTTTGATTTTGTGTAATTTCATTCAATGTTATAGAGATTGTTAACCTAAAACCACCGTGTTTCAATTTAACTGGGAAAGATGTATTATATTCAATTAATTAAAGCTCGACCAGAAAATATTGAACTACATTCTCGTATAATAGTTTTGCAAATTATACGAGAGATGTAAATTATACTAGGCTAACAATGTGTGACAAGTTCAACCTATTGACCGTTGATAAGACGATTCGAACCTGGATATTCGACACAAACTCACATGCTTCAACCGCTATGTCATTTATTACGGGACTTAATTTATATCGGTTATTAATAACTGAGCACAATTTATTTCAATATATTCTTATATAATCTTTAAATCCACTACAATTCTTGAACAATCATCCCCAATTAAGAAGATGAGGGGTTTTACTTATATCTAGTAATATTAATTAGACCATATTTATATGTTTGTTTAATTTAATTAGCCCTCAAATCCATAAATAAAACACATTTTATTTTCTCTTAAAGGGCCTTCTTTTAAAGTAATTGGACTTACTTGCAAATTGCAGTTAATGGGATGGGTGATTGTAAAATTAAATAATTCAAAATGGGTATTTTGGATATTTCAAGTGAATGAACAAATATACACGTGGCCAAACATTATGATTATTTCTTCTCTAATCCTTTTGGCTGTCATTTGTCAGTGGTCAAAGTCAAACTTTAAGTGAATTTTGCTTAAAACAACCGCTATATAAATGAGACAGAGACTCAGGTAAATAAATTAAAAAAATAAAATAAAAACTATATTTTTTGGTAATAGATATTCTGATATTTTTATTGGAAAAACCCATATATTATTTATTTTGTGTTATACTCCTTAAATAAATAAATAAAAAACAATTGAATATATTCAAATACTCATAAAGCTTACCATATCTTAATGTTGTGGCTCATTTATCAAAGTCCGATGAAGTGGACAAACGAGCCCGAGTTACCATTTGGGCATTGCCTTGTTGGTTCGTGCTAATGTGGCCGAACTTTACCGATTTTGTTCCGAGAAATTCTGATTTGAATATGTTTCTTCTTTTGAACTTTCCAAATTCTGAATTGCATTATTTTCTTTAAATGTCATTACAATCAGTTTTTCACTTTCGACAAAAAAAAAAAAAATCGAATAGTACTAATTCAGATTCGATCCATTTAATTTGTATTCCTAAATTATACAATTGTGTTCTTATAATTTTTTTTTTTTATATATATATATAATTTTATTTTATCTTGAGAATCAATCGAGGGGTTAGTGATTATGGTTTGTATTGACTTTGGAACTAATTTGGGGTGAAAACTGCAATTTCAGAGATCATAGAGGATGAAACTTTAATTATTGCAACGAGGACCTGTGGTATATATATAAATGTACATTTAAAACCTATTTATTTTATTGTGCGTTTTCACCTTGATTTTGTACAACCACCCAACTTTTCCAATGTGTTATGTCTTTCTCAATCCTTAAATTTCATGTTGGAACTTGGACCATATGCTAAATTCCATGACAGCATTTAATATGTATACTGAATTTTCTTTAATCTTTTACCGAATTTTAAATTCATTTTGAATTGTCGCGCACATATTAATAGATATACATAAGCTATAGTAGAAACATAACAAATTATTAAAATACATTTAATGTTAATTATTTCTCAACTAAGTATTTAAAAGTGATCAAGGGTAAAACTAAAAAAATTGTTTTCTAATATTCAAGAATATTTTAGCGATTTTCTTAAAATGTGTGTAAAAAATTTAAACCGCAAATATCGTAAAACACGGGGAATGTATACTCTTATGAAAATTAAATATTTTTTAATATATTGTAAATAATACAGAAATGGAGTTTCCTAACATAACCACTCGATGGTTCTCGACTTTCCCTTATATTCTATATTGAACTGTGTTACTTTTCTTCCACGGTCATCAAAACCAACTGCGTTACATTAAATAGACCATTTTAAAAAAAAAAAAAAATTACTTGTCAATAATATAAATATAAATATCCAAATGAGTAGACATATATTTAATAAAATGATGGTTGAGTTACCAAATTGATATGCACAAGAACTTGAACCTGGACCATTTTTCATATCAATTTTGTTACAAGTTGTTCTCTCGTACCAACGTTGACCTATTATAGACCATTCAAAGTCTACTATCTCCCTAAGTAGCTTACTTTTAAGCCTAAACAAAATTAGTAAGCTCTAATTTATTTTTAATGACTAATTACCATTTGCTTAATTTATAAATAAATAATTTTACTCAATATTGTAAAATTATAGTTTCATATTTTATGCATCGGTTTCCAAACGCTTCATAATTTTGCAGTTTCTTGATCTCAAAAGTGTTTGTTGGCAGATGACTTCGAACCTGAGTAAAGTGATACTGAATCGTTTCGTGTACGTTGAATATACATTTCGAATCGAATGAATAGGTGAAAAAAGAAAACATCATAAATATATAGGCTACCTAAAAAATGAAACTTGTACTCTATATATTATAGTTGAGTTAGTAGTTGGTTGGTCCCCTCTATTTTAGGAAAAATGTCACAAATTGGACATCTTACCATGGTCAAGCTAGAAGAAGACAATGTGTTATGTCTTGAGCAAAGGTTGCTCCTTACATGTAAATAAATGGTTTTTATTTACAATAAATTTTATTATTATCAAAATATAACATTCTTCTAAAAAAAGTTTAAAAAAAAAAAAATAAGGGCAAATTACGGCCACACCCCTATGTTATAGTTAAATTACAAAACCGCCCTTCTATTTGGATAATTACAGTCACCCCCTCAACTATGTATTATCTTATGGAAAAAAACCCCTCCTCTAGAGGTAAATTTAGGGATGTTAAATCGGTAAAATCGAACCGCAATTTCGGTACGACAACATTTTATACTGTTTACCGAACTGAAAATACGATTTGATTTTGTAAATAACCGAATTATATAAATTTAATATAAAAATATTTAAAAGAAGGAGGATGAGTGTAATTACCCAAATAAGATGAGTTTTTTATAATTTGGCCATATTTCAGGGGTGGCCGTAATTTGCACAAAAAATAATGTTAAAAATTTCCAACCAAAAAATGTTGAACATCTTTTCAAATTGAAGTACATATGGTAGGCATGTATTGTTATATTTGTGGGTATCGAGCCCAATTGCATAGCCCAATTATTATTTAAAATAAGCTATAATTTGGAGCAACTTTTCTTATTTAAAAACTCTTTTACAAATGATGGATAGAAACATCAAAAATAATATTTAGATGTACTTCATTTGATGCATCATCTACAACTTTATTATATGTATATTCCTTATTGGATAAATTGAAATGCTACTCGATGTACTTCATTCGGTGCAGCATCTACAAGATCACGAACATAAGTCTAAGAAACAACAAGATGAAAAAATATATGGAAAAAAAACATGATAAAAGAAGTTTTTAAAAACGAATATTATTATCCCTCTTCCTTCTCCTAAACGAAGCCCCGATCACCCACTTAACCAAATTGAACAACACCCTAATCATCTTCACAATCAAGCGAAGTGTATGTCCAACAAGTAGTAAGGCCATCAAACAAATCCACGCAAACACTGTAATCCCGACCATAGCATCGATCGTCTCCTTTTTGTTAGGCGGGGTCGATATAATCACAGCAACCGTGTAAGAAAGCGCTATCGCCGTAATCGCAATCCAAGTGACCACCATCAAAACCCAAACGAAGAATTTCCGTTTCAGCGGCAATCCGCTCATCAACAACAATATGATGCTTAGAGAAGCAATGAAGCTCGTGGTGTTGATCAAGTAGAACCGCTCGGAGTTTTTAAGGTGGTTGATCGCCTTTGTTAGGTAATGACGAAGATCTTTTGAGTTTCTCGTATCAGGCGTCTGAATTTCCTGCCAGACGTTGTTGGGGGGGTTGACCCCCGCTTGAAACGCCATTGTTGCTATTAGCGAAGCCACTACCATCAATCCACTTCTCTTCCTCTCGAGCCAATCTTCTCTTTCGTTGAGCCATTTGTTCAAGATGACGTTGGTTGTTAGGTCTTTTTGAGGGGAGGACGACAATAAGCCCCTTTTTGGAGTGGTTTTGTGAAACGACGACGCACCTACAAAAGCTCCGGCTCGTTTGAGGGATTCTTCGATTTCTAAATCGCTCGAATCTGTTCTCCTTTGGATCAGAATGTCCATTGGTTTCATTCAGGCGGCGTTCACTACATTGAGATCGATGATTCCGATAAGTGACAACAAGTACTCTGTCGTCTGAAAAATATTCCAGCACATAAATTTTAACATTGTCAAAATTTGTCCCAAATTTACCATCGATCATAAAGAAATTAATGATAAGCATTATGAAGAGTAGTATGCATGTTAACAATAATCTTTGTATATAATAGAAAACCCTAATGACATATTTTAAAAAAAAAAATAAAATTAATTGCATCTCTTATTTCTCAGCCCTTTTTCTTCTAACTACTTTCATTGCAAGTCAACTAGCAAAAACCTAATCCACTCGCATATAGTTTTTTTTTTCTTTTTAAAGAGAAGTAACGTAACTTGATTAATTTATGTGTTTTGTTGGAATTTGCACAATCATACTTTTAGAAATATTAACGTTATTTTGATAATTTAAATTTCACAATATTGGGATTTTGGCCCAAATGTTATCTCTTCATCTATGGCCCAATACCAGCATGTAACCGGCCCATCTTGGAGCAAGCCCACACTTGAAAAAGCCCACGTGGAGAATTGGTCTTGACCCAATTAAGGGGTCAAAACGTGAAAAACGATTAATCTCTCCACCGATATACCGATTCGGCTCTCTGCTTTTTTTTTTCCTCTTTTCTGGTCCGATTTCTCCGCCTGAAATCTGTGGCTTCCGTTGAAGTCGGTTCTTGGGGGCTATTAAATAGACCTCTTCTTCGTGAGAGAACAGTGACCAAGAGTGACCAAGAAAATTCAACCTACGTTACACCTTGTTCGTAAATCTTTTCTTCGTGACTGATTCGACTCTTTGTGAGTCTCAACTCTTTGTGAGTGTTTGGGTGTTGGGTTGAGTGCTGTGTGTGTTTGATTTATTCGAACTCTTGGTCCTTTGTGTGTTTGGGGTTTTTTCGGGTTTTTCCGGTTAGAAATCTGAGAGGGATTTGGGCTATTGGGCTTGTTCCGGTGGGTGCGTGGCTGCGGCTGGTGAGTCTTGGACGAGGACGGATGGGAATTGAGACTGAGCCGGGAACCTCAATCGTCGGCAGAGATTCATCCTCCCACGAATCTGTGTGATTCGCCGTGGTTCTTCTTTCCCCTTTATTACTCTAGTTTTTCCTTATTATTTGTGTTATTTGTTTCCTACTTTTTGCAATTATTCTGATTTTCTTGTAGTCTTTATAATTGTTATGATTTGCAGTTGTTGTTAGGTTTAAATAATATAAGTAATAATTAGAGTCCTGTACCCTTATTCCCATAATTGTTTTGTTTTCGGTAATTGCTGTCATATGCTATAATTAATTGATTTAGTTGATTTATTATATATTATATTTTAATTGTTTCGAATAAAATATGAGTATTTTGATTTTGTGTGGTTTGTCTTCTCCGGGCGGATACCCAACACACAACTTCGTATTTTAATATAATGTTATCATTTTTAATACAATTTAATTATCATATACTTAATTTTTCTTCTTTTTTTTGAATCACACAGAAAAAATTGCTAACAATAATAATAATAATAATAATAATACCTCAACTTGTTTATCAGCAACAGCAAGGTGCAAAACAGTGTTACCATTTTGGTCAACCCCGTTGACCAAATCCTTATCGAAACTCAAATCCTCCAAAACAATTTTCAAAGCCTCAAACCGGCCGTACTCCACGCAGAGGTGAAGCACGGTCCCACAACTCCGGCCACCCCTCTTGACCCGTTCGCGGGCGGACTCGGGTCTGACCCGAACCATCTCCCTCAGTACATCGACCCGGCCCATTGCAGCAGCAATATGGATCGGGTTTCTCCCGTCCCTATCAAGTGCGTAGCACGCATCCGGATCGACCATCAGCAGGCGCTTCGCGATCGCCACGTGGCCTCCGGCGGCCGCCAGATGGAGAGGCGACGAACTCTGCCGGTCCAGCTGGCCGGCCAGGCCGGGCTTCCGGTTCAGGAGCTCGACGGCGAAGCTCTCGTGGCCGAGCATTGTGGCCACGTGGAGCGGGGTTTCTAGATGTGGAGTTATGGGGGTTCTTTCGAGGATTAAGGGGTCTGTTTGGATTAGTTTGATTAGGGTTTCTGTGTTGCCTTCCATTGCTGCTTTGTACAGCCTTTCATCCATTGTTTTTTTTCTTTTTTATTTTCTGCTTTCTCTAAGTTTGATTTTCTGTTAGAAGAAATTCACACACACACATATATACACTAGTAAACTAATGAAGAGAACAAAGTCAATGGTCAGTCAACGCACAAAGTCAATCCAAGGAAGTTGCTAACTAAGGGAGGGAAAAGGAAAATAACACAAAAATACAAATCCATATCCTTCGACTTTACACGCGGTGATAAATATGGAGTGAGTATTCTGCTGCCACGTGTCATTTTTTGTATTTTATAATATATTCTCCTACTAGGGTTAACTTGTAGGGATTGTAGAAAGATACAAAAAATGACACGTGACAGCAGAAGACCCACCCGGTATTTATCATCGACTGTAGAGTCGAAGAAGCCCCATATATATATATATATATATATATATATATAGATTGATGAGAATTTGTTATCAATGATGAAAAATCAACGAAAGAGTGATTTCGACTAGAATACGTTCTTACATGAACTTGTTATTTTGTGCATGTAAGCATATTTTCCTGCCGAACTGACCGGAATACACAATATGTGCATTTCCACGTAATTACGTACAATTTATGTGCTTTGTATTTTTGTGAAATTAAATTCGCGTCATAATAAAAGGAAGCGAAAACCTCGAAAATTCTCATTTAAATTCTCCTAATTTCAAACTGTCACTACTAGAAGGAACGTGGCGTGCAATCTGACAATGATCTCGTAATTTTTATTCTACATGTATAATTTGTTCTGATTATTAATTGGTTGTTCAACAACAATCATTCAGTTGCAAGCAAGCGAAATCCAATTTTGTTAATTAAAAGTCTTCATTTCTTTTATTCAACTTTTGGCTTTATATTATAAACGAACATCAACCACAATATTTTTTGTATATTAATTCTTAGCCTTTTTTGATATATATATATGAAATACTTAAGCCACCAGTGCCTTCTCTAATTATTGGTGACACGTGGATGTTATATCAAATGAAATATATTGAATAATATATCACCGGAAAATAACTATGTACGTATACTTGTAGATATGTGTATATAGTAAATATATACGTGTATATACTTATTTTTTATTAGTGGTTCAAAGACAAACAGTTAGGCCTTGTTTGATTGTTCTTAATGAGCCTCTTAATCACCAATTTGATTTGGTAAAGTAGCTGTAAGTGTGCATTTGATTATAATTGTTAAATAGATTCACAAGGCTCTTAACGATTCGGCCAAAGTATAATATATGTGTTGACCGAATCAGTCATATGCATGCGTATTCAATATTCGGTGTCATCAATGTTTAATTCTATCAAACATTGCTTTAAGAAGTGTTGGTAAAAGCTTATTTAAAAGTAGTAATTATGGATTGTCAGTTAAGTTGGTTTTAAATATTTATTTCTAAAAATCGAGGGAGGTTGCAAATTTATTGATAAATAAACTTAAATAGAAAAAGCAGAATTATGAATGCTTAACAAATTATAACTTAAAGTTGCTTATTTTAAACTAAGGTGGTGTTTGCAAAAGTTTTTTGAAAGTGATTATGGGCTTTTTTTTGCTCATAATTTGTTTTCAGGTGTTTGCAAAATCAACTTTTGCTTTTGCTTCTCTTAAAATAATCTGTTTTAAGCTATTTTTTCAAAAGCACCCCTAGCCCTGCTTTTTCTATTTAAGTTCATTTTCCGAAATATTTGCAAACACCTCAAACTTTTAGAAATAAGCATTTAAAACTGATTTAACTTACAATCACTAACTTCTGCTTTTAAATAATCATTTGCAAACACCACCTAAGCAAAAGTAAAAATTCATTTTACACACACTTAAAAATAAATTATGAAAAAAAAAGTTCATTTGTAGAAAGCTTTTGCAACCACTTTTGGATTAGGATTTAAGTGCTTATTTCTAAAAGTTGGGGTGTTTGCAAATATTCCGGAAAATGAACTTAAATAGAAAAAACAGGGCTATGGGTGCTTTTAAAAAAATAGCTTAAAGCAGATATTTTAAGAGAAGCAAAAACAAAAGTTAATTTTGCAAACACCTGAAAACAGATTATGAGCAAAAAAAAACTCATAATCACTTTCAAAAAGCATTTGCGAACACCATATTCAAGTTGTTTAAAAGTTAATTAACTATTGGGTAAATTACACCCACACCCCTGAGGTCAGTGGCGTATCTAGTGTGGTCCAAGGGTGTGCTACTGCACACCCTTGATTTTAAAAAAAAATTATTTCCTATATATTTGGTATATATAACTGCAAATGTAAAACTTGGCCAATGCAATGCTGTAGCTGAACTGGTTAAATGCTATATTGAATCCTGCAGAGGTACAGGGTTCGAAACCATTGAGAGTCTGAAACTCAATATTTTTTTTTCATTTTTATTCATAATTTTCCATTACATACAATATTTCAATTGTTTTAAAAATTGTTGAATATGTGGGTATTTTTTAATATTTAAAAAAAAATCTCCTAATATAACATATATTTTGCAATTTGTAACTTTTAATTTATTTACCATTTCTTTAATATTAAATATAATATAAATTATTCCAAAATTCTAAATATTGTATATATATGTATTATTTCAATTTTTTTTCTAAATTTACAACTGTGGGTTTTTTTTTTCTTTTTGAAAATTCAAAATCTGTTAATGAAATGTACCTTTTGTCACTTGCAACTTTAATATGTTTACCACTTCTTTAATATTTCCACTAATTTTATGTCTAAATATTTCCTAAATTTGCCCAAAAATGGTAAAATAATCCCTTTATATTTAAAAATTTTAAAGATTTTTTATTATTTAATGTGTACAATATTCAAAAAAAAAAAAAAAAATTCGGGGGCGCTGCCCCTGAACCCCCATAAACTATTAGACAACCATTATACTTTTTACTATATTTAATTTCGAACACCCTTGGCAAAAATCCTGGATTCGCCACTGCCTGAGGTATGCTTAAATAACTGTAAGGTCCATGTGGTATCGATAATTACACTCACCCCCCTGAAAGGTAGTTAAAAACTCTAAAGGGATAATGCATTGGATACATTATACCGATAGGGTTGTAATGGACTATTACTTTTAGCTAGTTATGGGGTGACATGGCTCCCCCAATATTTTTTAAATCACCCATAACTCTTTGTTGTCTTCACCACTTCCTGAAACCAATAGTCCATTAGAACCCTATCGGAATAATGTATCCAATGCATTATCCTGTTAGAGTTTTTAACTACCTTTCAGGGGGATGAGTGTAATTATCGATACCACAGAGACCTTACAGTTATATAAGCATACCTCAGGGGTGTGGGTGTAATTTACCCTTAACTATTCCATTGCGCGTTTGAAAAGTACTCAGGGCTAAACTGCGCACACGGCGCAATACATCACTAATTCCCCCAAAATAGTACGCCAACGAGAGCAGTTTGAAAATTCTTAGTCTCGAATTTCCAGTCAAAACAGGTTTTTTGCTTTTCCTCCATTTTTGTTGCTTGCTTCTATACTAAGTTTCGTTCCCATTTATTTATCGTACCTGAATCCGCCGTTTTAAGTTTGAGCAGAACCAGCAATCGATCACAGTTTTTTTCAATTTTGATCTGTTGTGGTGGAAAGAAGAATTTTGTGAATATTCAAACCGACATCTATAGCGGCTATGGAGAGTTTGATTGGATTAGTGAACAGAATACAGAGAGCCTGCACCTCCCTCGGTGACTACGGCGGTGACGACCAGGCTTTTTCTTCTCTGTGGGACGCTCTGCCCTCCGTCGCCGTCGTCGGTGGCCAGGTTAGCATATCACTATTTTTTTAATTTAAAGTAATTATTTGTAGAGACTCGGTAAAAACAAGGAAATTAATCAATATCGTTCGTTGGTGTTTATAATTGGAGTTTTAACTGTGCGATGCATCCTATGTTTAGTTTTAAAGTTTTAATCGAATTCATTGTTGATTTTAGTTTACGATGGAAGGAGGAATTGGTGTTTTTTTTTTCTGCTTTGTAATTAATCGTAGTATGAGAATAATATGTTGTTGTTTGAGCTGAATACAGAGTTCAGGAAAGTCGTCGGTGTTGGAGAGCATAGTCGGAAGAGATTTTCTACCCCGTGGATCTGGTTAGTGTTTTCGATTATTGCAATATGATGGTTAAGTAACTAGTTTTGAAGACTATGTGGATTTAATTAACGGCCTGATGTTCTGTTTCCGGTTTTGTTGACGATAGGCATCGTTACTAGGCGACCGTTGGTGTTGCAGTTGCAGCAAACTGAAAAAGGGAAGCAAGAATATGCCGAATTTGGACATTTGCCGCGGAGGCGGTTCACTGATTTCTGTATGTGTGATATTTGATACTTCACTGTCATATGTATTGACTAAGTGTGCTCTTAATTCTGGATCGAACCTGTATTTTGTTTAAACTTCTCCATGTTATTTTTATTGCTGTACTTAATACTATGCTTGGTTTTATTCACTCGGATATTATATTTAGTTTGGAATTGGCTGCTAGATGGAAAGTTACCTGGAGTAGTTTGTTTGATGTTTAATGATGTAGTTATTCCCCTCCTTCCCTCTTCGCTTCTCTTGATAGCCAAATTGTGATGTCTATATATTTACAGTATGTGGAATTTCAGCAATTGTAACTTCTGAAGTGCTTTATTGGCAACGAATAAGCTGACGAAATGTTTCCCATCTAATTCTCTGATGCAGCGTTGGTTCGCAAGGAAATTCAGGATGAAACTGATCGAATAACGGGGCAAACAAAACAGATATCGCCTGTACCTATCCACCTAAGCATCTATTCACCAAATGGTATTTTACTTTATTGAGCTAATTTTATGCTAGTTGGCCAAAAGTCATAATTGCTCACTACCAAAGCTACACCATAAAATTTCTATTACCGGATTTGTTTTTTCAAATGCTGATGGTTTTGAGTTGTTTTCTGCAGTTGTGAACTTAACTCTGATTGATCTTCCTGGTTTGACAAAAGTTGCTATTGGTCAGTGCACATTTATATATTTATTTTTCCTACTACTGGTACAATTCCCAACTCAGGGGTGTATCTAATGCAAAGACATTTGATCTTGTAGAGGGGCAACCGGAAAGTATAGCGCAAGACATTGAAACTATGGTTCGTTCGTATGTTGAGAAGGTACTGATAAAACCATATTTTGTATTTTTTTCCCGATTAAACTAGCCTCATAACTCCCAGTGTATGTAAGAAGTATTTCTACAGTACCTTACGAGACCTAGTGTATACAGTCAGCATTAACTTTTTAAACGCTGAATTCCCCTTCTCTATCTTATCTGCGTTACTGGTTTGGCTGGGTTCATTCTCCTATTTTAAAATGTTAAAATTTGTCGATAAATTTATGCTCCTTCTTATTTTTCCTGCAAATTTTTCCCACATGCAGCCCAACTGCATCATACTGGCAATATCTCCAGCAAACCAAGATATTGCAACTTCAGATGCTATTAAACTTTCAAAGGAAGTGGATCCATCCGGTAAGTCTGGTTTCCTTTTGTATATTAAAAGTTCGGAAGGTTGAATATGTTTTAGTATGTGGCAACTGGCGTCGTCTGTCATTTAATATTTTTTTGCAATTCGCAGGTGAACGCACATTTGGGGTTCTAACAAAATTGGATCTGATGGACAAAGGAACCAATGCGCTTGAAGTAATATCTCTCTCTCTTTCACACACACACACACACACACACACACACACACACACACACTACTCATTATAGTTCTGGATATGTTGATAAATATTTTCTTATATCGTAGGCACGTTATCCTTCTTGAAAACTAAGAACGACATTATACATCTTCTATTGAAATATTATTACTCCTTTAATAATTGGATCTGATGAGACATTTTTCTTGCTGCTAACTCAGTATGATTGAAGCGAACAAAAGCTCCTTTTAATTTTGGATTCCAAACTTTTTGCAATGTTCTTGTGAAGGTTCTTAGTTGTTAGTTATGTTAAATATGTTCTCTTATGTATTCTTGTCTTCCATGTCCTTCTATTTTGTCTCATCCTGCAACATTTTCGTCATTTCATATCATCACCTCTCCATATTCTTCCTGCTGCTAAAGATCAGAAGACCTTGAATAATTTTTTATTCGTCTGCTATTTTCATTAGGTTCTGGAAGGAAGATCTTATCGCTTGCAGCATCCTTGGGTGGGTGTTGTCAATCGTTCACAATTAGATATCAATAAAAATATGGAGATGGTTGCTGCTAGGGGAAATGAGCGCGAGTACTTTGCCACAAGTCCCGACTATGCGCACTTGGCAAGTAAAATGGGCTCTGAGTATCTTGCAAAGCTTCTCTCGAGGGTACGTTCGGGTTTCTTAGTTTTAATTTGAGTGTCCTGACTGCATTACTTTTAGAGCTCATACGGTTGAAATTACTTGTACTGCAGCACTTGGAATCTGTAATTAGAGCAAGAATTCCAAGTATCATTTCATTGATTAACAAAAGCATTGATGAACTTGAATCTGAGCTCGACCACCTTGGAAGGCCTGTTGCTGTTGATGATGGGGTGGGTTTCTTGCTTCCCTCATTGTTATTATTGATTTGACATTTCAAACTTGCAGCAACTGAAGTATGTGTTTCAGGCTAAATTGTACACCATTTTGGAACTTTGCCGCGCTTTTGACAGGATTTTCAAGGAACATCTAGATGGAGGGTATGCTTCATTTTCTCCTGTTTCCTCTTATTTTTTTTATTGGAAACTCTTTCTGACAAGCAATTTAAATTTCCTAAATTTTTCCTGGATTTTTCTTTCGGTTCTGATGTCCATACTTGAGCTTTTTTTGACATGCATGGATATTTTTAATTCGACGTTCCTATTAGTCGTATAAAGTGGGAGGCTAATTGAGTTCAGTGATCTAAGAGAAATCAGACCCTAAATTTATGTTGCAAGTGATGCCAATGTTAATTGTCGTTGCAGTTGAATTAGAGTTTAAAGTTATATTTGACTTTCCATTCGGTAAAGACTTGGCAATCATTGTAGGATATATATATGTAGTTTATTGGTATTCTGTCCTCCAGATTTCAGATACATGTATATTTATGTTTCTATAATTTAATTTGTTTTTACACATTGAATCACAAATGCCCCACATTAAGCTGATGAATTTGTCTTCACATCTATTGATTTATTTTAGGCTGTGGCAGATTATTGAGGCAGAAATTGACTCCATGTTTTATTATGGAATTGATTATCCTCTAGTCACTTACAATTAGCTATACCTCCCGTTTGCAGTTAGCTCCCTACAATTTCACTTTATAATGCATTCCAACTTTATAATTTGCTTAAGAAGAAAAAAAAATTGACTTTCCAAGTTGGCTTGAAATTTTTTAGTACCTTGTACTTCTTAGATTAGAAGAAATATGTCCACCTATATTTGTCAGAACTTTTTTGATTTTGCGTAAATTAGGCATCCATTATAGTGTAGATTCTAATCAGCTGCATGCATTGATAATTTCAGCCGACCAGGTGGTGATCGAATTTATGGAGTTTTCGACAATCAGCTGCCTGCTGCTTTGAGAAAACTTCCATTTGATCGATATCTCTCGTTGCAGAACGTAAGAAAAATTGTTTCAGAAGCTGACGGTTACCAACCGCACTTGATTGCTCCCGAGCAAGGTTATCGACGTCTTATTGAGGGCTCGTTAAGTTACTTTAGAGGCCCTGCTGAAGCTTCTGTCGATGCTGTAAGTACTTCTGTCCACTGGAATATATATAAAAAAAAGGAATTTTATTTCTTCTCAGTCACTAATCGTTTGCTTCATCCATGAATAATAAAACAAAACTGTTTTCAGGTTCACTTCGTCCTGAAAGAACTTGTAAGGAAGTCAATTGGAGAGTGTCAGGTGACTTTCTATATCTTAATAGTCAATGTTTGGCTTTCCTCTGGGCTAGTATTTTCATTTTATTTAGGGAAAAAGGTGTTTCGGGGAAGAATTTGTGAAGAAAGTAATGTTGTTTATATTTCGAGAGAATTTTTTTTTACAGTCAAATCTTCTGAGAACTACCGTAGTTGTGAAATCATGTTCCAAAGAGAGAGAGTATTTCCAGATTATTCTCCGAAAAGACTTTTGATTCTCCATTTAGAAAGCCAAACACGAAAAGAGGAATTGAAACGTTTTCAATTCTATTTTTGGTTTACACTGTTCGCTATTTGCTTCTAAATTTCTGTTCGGCAAAAACAGGAATTGAAACGTTTTCCATCTCTGCAAACGACAATAGCAGGAGCAGCAAACGAGGCTTTGGAAAAGTTCCGTGATGAAAGCAAGAAAACAGTGACTAGATTGGTTGATATGGAGTCTTCATATGTGACTGTAGAATTCTTCCGGAAAATTCCCCAAGAAATCGAGAATATTGCAGGAAATCCAGGGCAAAACCCAAGGGGGAAGCCAAACGAAAGGGAAAACTCAGCACCTGACCCAACTATTGATCGTTATTCAGAAGGCCACTTCAGAAGGATAGGCTCAAACGTGTCTTCTTACATAAACCTGATTTCCGAAAATCTTAAAAACACAATTCCTAAAGCAGTGGTTCACTGTCAAGTTAAAGAAGCCAAACAGAATCTACTTAATTACTTTTACATGCAGATTGGCAAGAAAGAGGTACTTTGCTCTGTTTTTTCATTTCTTGTACACATACATGGGCTCGTTTTATCGAGATTATTAACAGCTTTTATTTGGTGGCATTACAGGGAAAACAACTCGGTGAATTATTGGACGAAGATCCCACATTGATGGAGAAGAGAATGCAATTTGCAAAAAGGCTTGAACTGTACAAGCAAGCAAGGGACGAGGTTGATTCTGTCTCATGGGCTCGATGATCTCTATCCACGGTACAGTTATATTTCTTTTGTCAATAGATTTCACGATAAATAGCGATTGCATAAACATTGATTCTTGACTTAGGCGATTCATTCTTGCATTATTTCTTTTGGCTCGACACAATGATTTTTGTTTCCGTGATATTATTGCATTGTAAATGGTGAACATCTTCAGACTTTCATATTCGAGTACATAACAGATTTTTACATTTCTTCTTGTGCTCACTTTATACCTCAGTAGGGAGTCTAGAAAAAAAATATTTGTATTTATCTTTTTGTAGGATCGGAACATCAAAATAACGACTAACCACTTAGTTGAGTGCCAACTTTCGCTGGACGTGTCTTCTTTTCGAGACCGTCTAAAACGGCCCACAACTTAGCCTCGGTATAATCCTTGATAACCATAGCTGCACCTGCTTCTGATAGTAATCTTTCAGGGTTACCCGTGGCTAAACCTACTACCGGCATTCCAGCTCCCACTCCAGCTTTTATTCCCGACACTGAATCCTTAATTTTTTTTAATCCAAATAAAAATTTAGTACATTTTTATGTATCAATTTTAAAATCGAAAAAAAAAAAAATTCGAACCTCGAAGACGAATGCATGCTCGGAAGAGATACCGAGCTCTTCGAGAGCCTTTAAATAGGGGTCCGGAAAAGGCTTTACTCGGTTACACTCACTTCCTATAATAACGAATTCGAAGAAACTTTCGAGACCAAGTATAGAGATTAACAGATCAGCATTTGATCTTGGAGCATTTGTGACAGCTGCTCTTCTCAAACCATTATCTTCTACCCATTTGATCAGCTTTTCTAGCCCGGCTACGGGTTTCATTTCTTCTGCAGCCAATCTAAGTCCATAAAATCAGCTTTTAACGGAAATGCTTTTTTTTAGTTTAATTTTTTATTGAATATAGATACGAGACACGTACTAAATAAAGAAAGTGCTGACGTAAGTTAGTTATACCTTCGAAACATTGCTTCCTTGTCATCGAAGAATTTCACGGCCCTTTCAACATCCCAATCAGGGAATAAAACGTGACGGAGTTCCACGTTGTGCTTGCCACTAATACTGTTTATGAAGAATTCCTCGGTTATGGGTGCTCCTCCGTGGAATCCTACCTGTCAGATAAACGAATAAAGAAACAATGAAATTGGAACACGACAACTAAATGAAGTAAAATAGGAAGGACGAAAAACGAGGATGGAATAGACCTCTTGAAGCATTTCTCTAAAGGCGTAATAGTGGATAGGGTCCGAATCAACTAGTGTTCCATCGATATCGAATAGTATTGCTTCCAATGGAGCAACAGAAGCGAGCGAAGAGTGCCTAAATACGTATCGGAGATTGTTGCAACTTGAATGAAATATCAACTTGCCCACAAATTCTTAAAGAATCAAGGGTCCAAAAGTAATGGCATTATTGAGCATAATACTATGAATCAAGAATTCATCAACAAACACATTTACCAATTTGTATGCAAAACTCAATAAGAGGGTAAAAAACACACCCAAAAAAAATTATTAAATAAGGCTTCGTTTGGCTGTCAATATAAGATTAAATAATTTAATGAAAACCCAGTTATTTTATCAGACCCCCGAGACGTCTAACGAAAAAACGAAAAAAATATCAGAAGATAAGCAATGATAACATAATATTTGCGGGTCGACACGGACAAGTTATTGGGGATATCGAACATCAATTATTTAGTTAATAATAACTAACTAATCTCCCCAACCAAACGAGAGGCCTAATTGAGATAAAATATAGGATTATAAATGGCAAGTGAGAGATAGAAATGAAAGTAAAAGGGGAAATATAATAAAGATGAAAAGGGAATTAACCTTGGTGAGGTGGAGGAAATCCTGCATCGAGGAGTGGCGGCGGAATAGAGGTTTTGAGTTTGAGTGTTGTAAGAGAATGGAAGAAGATGAATCTTTGGTAGTGCAAATTGAAGGGATGGCATTGCTTCTTCTTCTTCTTCTTCTTCCTCAGCTCACACGTTTGACTTTGTGTTTTCTGTGTGTTTGTGGTTGGTTGGTTGGTTCTGTTTAGACGGGTCGGCCACCACTTACTTGGGTCAACGGGCTTTCGACCCGGTCCTAACTCTAATTATTAATTATTATTATTATTTATTCTTATTTTTGTTATTTTAATTGTGAAAAAATCAACGCCCATATTTAAATTCATTAATTTTTGTAATTTAATTACATTTTGAATTAGACAGTTTCACCAAAAAGAATAAACATACTCATTTATTACTAGGACTGTTTTATTCTATTTTTCTAAAATAGGATCCCTAGTCAACCATATAAATTGCAATGGGTAAACTTACACTTTCATATTGTTTTATTATTTTTGAATCAATTACATAATTATTAGGACTAATTAACCAATAAAGTATTTCCTACGTAGGTTAAATTACGCCAACTTCCTGCTGTACAGGTTAAATTACGAAAAAATTCATCATTTTTTGTAATTATAACCATTCCATCAAATATGAATGTTCTTACGAGTTTCACTCTTATAATGTCAAATTCAACGGAATTTTCTAAATTTCGTGGACATTCTCTAAGTTGTACTTGTTTCGTAAAAAAAATGCAGTTTCTCATGCACGACCACACATCTGATATTTACAAGCCAATAGACACATTTTATGATCATCTTTTTCAAAATGTGGAGCTCGAATGGGGCAAAACGGGTACAAATTGAAGAATATTCCACTAAATTTCACACCGCAAAAATGGACATGTATGTAAGAAAAATCCATAACTGAGGGTAGTGGTTGTAATTACCCAAACATGAAGTGTTTTATCATTACTTTAGGGATAGCCGCGCGTAATTTAACATGATATTAAGGAGATATTTACGAAATTATTACCAAAAAAAAAAAAAAAAAAAAAAGAAAAAAAAATGGAAAGTTTGTGAATCCCACTTGTAGACAAGTGGAAAGAATTCTGATAAATGGGAATTGAATTCCTCTACAGTGCGCAGATTAATTTTCTGTACTGAAGAAAAACCCGATTCTTTGATTCCTACAACATTATCAACCACGACTACTTGTCAAACTGTACAGATTTTTATTTTATTTATTTATTTAATTAATTTCTCTTCAAAATTACGCAAAGTCACAAATAACACTTCTCCCTCCGCAATTCATTCAGCCCAACCCCCCTGCAATTATTTAATCATTCCCTCTCTCTCTATAAATTAATTCTTCATTTTGGATCCCTTTTTTCCCCCATTCTTAGATCTCCACTGCTTTCCCTCTCTTTTTTCCCCCATTTCTTCTGCAGCAATTTGGTGAGTCTCAGATCTTAATTTTTTTTTTATTTTTTTTTATTTACGATCTTAGTTTCTGCTCGATTTTGTATGCGTAGATTAAATGTGAGATAGATATATAACTGGATCTTTTATTTTATTCGATTTTAATTTTGTATCATTCATTTTTGTGTTTGCTGAATTTTGGAATTTTGTTTGTATTCATTTACACGGTCATGCATTTTTGTCTGTGATTAATGGTGAATTTGATCTGAGCGATCTCGGTTTAATTTGAGTTATTGGCTTATGTTTTTGTCGGTTTTTTCTATGGATCTGCCTATATGGACCAGCCTCTTGTTAGTGGATATACTGAATAGTGCGGTGATCTGCATTATGTTATATTCGATAATAAGTATTTAGATCACCGTCGTCAAATTGTCAAACTGTTGATAAAGATCACGTTTGGGCTGCATTTTTTTGAATTTGAAGTGTTTATTTCATCAAACACTGAACATTCTTCGCTAAAATTCGGTCTTTTCGTTGATTTTTATTGATCTCCGTTTATTCTTTTATTATTATTTAGATCACCGTCGTCAAATCGTCAAAATGTCAATAAAGATTGCTTAAGGGCTACATTTTTTGAATTTGAAGTGTTTATTTCATCAAACACTGAACATTTTTGGCTAAAATTCGATCTTTTCGTTGATTTTTATTGATCTCCGTTTATTCTTTTATTATTATTTATTTTGTGGCTTAACATTATAAATAGAGCTAAAAATTTACTGCTAACAGCCACTTGGCATTGATGTGAATTTAATCATCATTTTAGTACGTCCGGTTTCTATGTGATATGAATTTTTTTTTCTATCTAATGTTACCTTTGTACTTGTTCGACTAAAACAACGCATCTAACTCTCGTTGGTATATTTGGTTGTATGCAGATAATTGATTGGAATTTCTCTAGGCACTATGGGGACTGTTGTTGATGCTCCAAAAACTGTATTTTCTTTAATCCCTTTTCGCCCCTGTTCTTGATTTTCTTTACGTGCTTAATGCAAGAAATAGAAATTTCGAATTCTAAATTCCATAATATGGACTTTCCAGCTGAGCAGGCATTAATTTAGCCAAGCAAGTAGTATATAGCCAAAGTACCTTAAATTTTACGTAACTGATTTAGGTTCAGGTAGGTAATGGAGATGCACACACCAACAAGAAAGTCACCGTTGTTTTTGTACTTGGTAAGTGCATCAGTTTCCAATATTTACGCACTTTTTACATAAAATCGTTTAATTGTTGTGTGTTGTAATAAAAGAAAGAAAATACTCTGAATTTAGACTGTTGTCTTTTCGTTTATCGGTGTTCAATAACGATATGCTTTCCTCACATGCCTGTCATTTTTTCTCAGGTGGGCCAGGCAGTGGCAAGGGAACTCAGTGTGCAAATATTGTCGAACATTACGGTTACACGCATCTCAGTGCGGGTGATCTTCTCAGAGCCGAGATAAAATCTGGCTCTGAAAATGGGTATAATTTTTTTATTATTACACCAATATTCTTATGTGATTGTTTTATTTTCGGAAATAAATAAATATTACTCTATTTATATTGAGTTAATACATTCTTGAATATGTTTTGAATGCGGTTTCTTGTACACTTTCTTTGGGAAATTAACGTTTAACTCCATATTCATCAGTGCTTCGTTTCAAATTCTTGGGTTGCAAGGGACAAAATCGAGTTTTGTTCTGAATTATTTTATCAGTACCGTGTGTTTTCTTTAACTAAGTTGGCTTTTTATATATACAATATCTAGGACAATGATTCAAAACATGATTAAGGAGGGAAAGATTGTACCTTCGGAGGTAACAATTAAGCTTCTTCAACGAGCCATAGAGGAAAATGGAAACGACAAGTTTCTCATTGATGGTTTTCCGCGTAATGAGGAGAATCGTGCAGCATTTGAGTCTGTAGTAAGTCTCGTTTTCACTACATAGATATATAAATATATATACATATTTATACGTATTTAAAAGACTAATATAAGTTGATTCAATTTCGTCTTTGCAGACTGGAATCGAGCCAGAATTTGTACTTTTCTTTGATTGTTCGGAGGAGGAAATGGAGAGGCGTCTGTTAAGTAGGAACCAGGTTACATCATTTGATTAGTTTATTTATTATTGATAAAAAATATATCTACCATTTCTTTTGTATTTCTTCATCTCATTGTTAATTTATATTTATCTTTTTATTTTTTCCGGGGTGAAGGGTCGAGAAGATGATAATATCGAGACTATAAGGAAGAGGTTTAAGGTCTACATGGAGTCTAGTCTTCCAGTGATTGAGTATTACAATGCTAAGGGGAAGGTCAGAAAGGTAATTTCACCACCGAGCTAACGTTTTTCTTAACCCTCGTTGGATATGGTAATTTATTTCATTTTCTTTTGATCAAGATGGATGCTGCAAGACCGATTGAAGAGGTTTTTGAGGCAGTGAAATCAGTTTTCACCCCACCCTGTGACAAGGTAACAACAATGGCACATTTTATATTTTGTGTAGCAAAAGAAAAATAATCGAGCAATGAAATTCTTGTGAAGTTGAAAATCGTTTATATTTATTAAAAATTACTGCTTGTGATGGGATTATTACAGCAGAAAACTTAGATTATATCCTATGTAAAGTCGAGGAATTTAACTGCCAATATGTTGACATGTGAAGTTGTTATTGGACATCATAATCGGAAATTGTTGGTATGAAATAGAATTTTGCATTTTTTTTAATCCGATAATTATTTATTTTTTGTCTTTTGTCATAGGTTGCTGCTGCTTAATGGTGCTCTACTTCACCCACCATATTATACCAGATTTCAGTTTCAGTAAGTAAATATGCCAACATATATATATATATATATATATATATATATATATATATATATATATATATATATATATATATATATATATATATATATATATATATATATATATATATATATATATATATATATATATATATATATATATATATATATATATATATATATATATATATATATATATATATATATATATATATATATATATATATATATATATATATATATATATATATATATATATATATATATATGTATGCTATTCTTGTATTTAATTGTCGAAATCATCCTCGTATAATATATTAATATATGCTCAAAATCGATGGTGCTTATTTTTCTGCAGATTTTAAAAAATATATACAACTTCAGGATGCAAGCATCACCGATGCATTCTTCATCCGCAGGGGTTACGTTTTACCTTTGTCTTTTTTTATTATTATTTGAAGAACTTGAGAAGCATAATTCGATGAGGTTTCTGCCTAAATAGTGTTATATCTATTTTTCTTTTTATTTTCTTGATGGGGTTATTGCCTCTATATGAATTTTATTGATAGATTGAATACTCACCTAATTTTGATCTTCATTTTATTTTATCATGGTCATGGTTTATTATCTTAGTTAGGAGTGGAAATTGGAATTGAATTTTCGCATTCCGCTGATTCTGATATGAATATTACTGATTTCAATTCCAAAAGTTTCGATTTCCAATTTTCGATCCGATTTTTTTTTTAGAAACTTTTGATTTTTCTTCCAAAAAATTACACCAATAATATCAATATTGCTACGTATGTATACAAGTGACGACTTAAAAAAATTCGAATGCCACCGATTACGATTCGAAAGTTTCATATTTTTCAGAACAAGTTTTCTCATTCCAATTCCAATTTCCAGTTTGTTTTTGTAATAGAATTGAAATTAATTTCACTTTCAATTTTTTTCTTCGAAAAGTGCCTATTTTGATTTGTTCGATTCTCACCCTCCGGTACAAGTTTCGCACATTCACATGTAATCTATGGCAACATATTACACATTGTATTTCACTCGGCATAACACACAAGAATTCATTTTCCAATTCTCACATTGCCGATAACTAAATAAGGAACTTCAATTCTTCAACACTGCAACAACAATAAAAAATCGAAAACAAAATTCCTGAAATAAGAACCCTACTCGCTTCTACCAGCCCAGAAAATAACAGCTTCTACAATTAACATCAATTCAAAATTACAAAAAAAAAAAAAAAAACAAAAAAAAAAAAAAAACAAGAAAAAAAATATCAGGGAACAAATATGATACCACTCTCTTGTATAGTATCAAGAATAATAGCAAGCCTGCCCTCAACACGCTCGTTTTTCTTGAGCTCGTACGACATTGCAAAAACATCAGCTTCTTTAGATCGCTCGGCAATTAGAGTACCTATAACTTTACACGCATTATTGTCTATAAGTGAAGGCAATGTGTTCCTCAAATCTCTTGCGTTTGTGGTTGCGACAGAAACCACTTTGCTTGTACCTCTATGCATCACTTTAGCATGCACAAATCGCTTCGAAAAAAACACGTTTAGTAAGAACGGTCTCATGTACATATCTGTCTTTTGCTTCCATGATTTTCGATTCGGCTTTTTTTCTGCTTCACTGCGAGATCTCCTTGTCCAAGCAGCTTGAACGACGAAGCCCTTCAAATATTTCGTACAATATCAAAATCTACACAACGGAAAAATGATAATGGATTTCACTACATTTAACCAAACATTTTCATTTCTAACAATGGATTTGAATTCTTGCCTTGGAGTGTGTAATCCAATAACATGGACAAGAAGACCAAAAATACACTATTTATACTCGTCTTTCTTCGAGCAGTACCTCCTCAATCATTAAGAAAAATTACTCGGAGATATGCTTACAGACTCGTTCAAATACCATGTTAAATAGGTTTAGGTAGAACAAGAAGTGTATCTCGGATCGGAATTAGTACTTTCTGAAAGTTACCACTTTTTTTCGAAAGTGAAAAACTAATTCCGACTCCGTTATAGGAAAAAATCGAAGAAATTGGAACGAAAAAACTAGTTCCAAAATCGGAAATTTTCAGAACGACATAGAGGGAATTCAGAATTTCCAAATTTTTAGTCACATATGATACAAAATACACAAAAAAATTGCTATTATAAGTGTAATTTTTGTGAATAAACATCGAAAATCGGAATCTAATATGTATCCCAATTCCGTTCCCAATAAAAACAGAAAATCAGAATATTGGAATTCGAAATGAAAAATATTGTTACATAATAAAAAATATTCGAATCGAAATCGGCAAAATTCGGAATTTCGGTTCCAAATTACACCCTAGCTAGCATTAAAAAAAAAAAAAAAAAAAAAAAAGCTCAAACTCCATCGTTGAAGCTGCATATATTCCAAGTTGGATTCACAACCTTGTTCAATTTTCAGAAAAGCAATTTCTTTTTATAAATGAAAAACAAAGGCAATCAATCCTATGTTCAATCTCACCGTCACGCTATCAAGTAACATTACAGCAAAAATCAATAAACTGCTTCTTAATTAAAAAAATAAATAATTGGGGATAAAATAATAATACCTGGTTTCGATTGAGAGTGGGAGCGGATAGAATAGAAGTATTGGCGGAAATTTTAAGATTAGGTAAAGAAGAAGACCATGAGAGAGAAGTTATGCCGTCTCTTTTAACTGAGAGAGAAACTGAAGATATAGGCGATGCAATTCGCCATTTCCTTCTTTCTTCTTCTTCTTCTTCTTCGTCTTCTGTAGATATTATTTTTGCAGATAAGTTTAATTATTAAGGGGCTGTTTGGGCCTTCATATTTCAATATTTTATTTTAGTCGGATCCATTTCACGGAACCGGATCCATTTATCGGGTCCTCTTCTACTTTTTATTATTTTATTAAGGTTAAATTACGATCACCCCTGGTGAGGTTGGTCAAGAGGTTGGTCAAATTACGAAAAATTTCTTCCTGTTTGGGTAATTACAATCACCCTTCAACGATAAAATAAATTTCCTTACACGTCTACCCTAGCGGTTTCAAATTTAATGAAATCTTCTAGATTATATGGAATTTTCTCAATTTTGAACCCGTTTTATCCCGTTCGAGCTGCACAGTTTGAAGCAAGATGATCATTATATGTGGTTTTTGTGCTTGTATATATCAGATTGTGGTGCATTGGAAACTGTATTTTTGCACTAATGAGTACAAACTAGAGAACATTCCACGGAATCTAGATGATTATGTTGAATTTGACACCATAAGGGTGGAGGTGTAAGAAGATTCATAATTGGAGGGGATATATGTAATTATCCAAACAGAAGGGATTTTTTCGTAAAGAAGAAGATTATTTCGCTGAATGAAAATCGTCGTCACTGCTGAAGCGCTTTATCTCTAACGTTTTGGTTATGGATTTCACGCTTTTCTACCGTTAAGAGGTCAGGTTAATTAATTCCCGCCTAAATTAATTTGTATTCCGTCCATGATCTAAATTTTTAAATAAATAAATACTATTCAGTATCTAAAGCTCGTTTTTTTCGATTTTGATCCAAAATTATAAGATAAAATAAAATCATTTCGATTTCGATTTCTAAACATTTTTTTATTGGGATTTCTCTTAGGATCAGAATCAGAATCAGAATTAGTTTTAACATTCGGAAAAAACAAATTGATTTTTTTTTTTTTTTTTTGCGTCGACAATTACAATTTCAATATACTACATTAGGGGTGTAAACGAGCCAAACTCGAGCCGAGTTAGGCTGTTTTGGCGAACTCAAGCTCTAGTTCTTCGAGTTTTCTTTTGTTTTCTTTTGGCTCGAGCTCGAGAGCTTGAACCTGAGTCATTTTGTGTATTTTTTTTTTTAATTATTGTTAGAATTTATTATTATAAATTATAATAGAAAAATAAAAACAAAATGACATGTGATTTATTTTTTAAATTATTTATATTAATTTATTATTTAATTTTATATTATTATATTGAAATAAAAAAATAAATTAAATTTTAAAATAAAAGCTCGCAAGCCGGCTCATGAGATCAAGAGCAATTAAGAATGAGCTCGTCACAAAACTAGAGCTCAAAATTCGAATTCAAGTTCGAACTTTTATCAAGACGGCTCAGCTCATTTACAACACCACATGCACTACATCAACATTTAGTTTTCAAAGAAACTATAACATCATTCAATTGAGTTTAAATCTCTCCATTCAATAAACACAAAACATAAATTACCAAATTACTAATTGATCCATATAATAAAACACAAACACAAACACAAATTACAACCAAACACAAGTCCAAATGAGTTTGTGCAACACACACAATTCATTCAATTGGAAATTTTATTATTACACAAATTAAAATAATCCTAAAAATTTATTAATAAAACATTAATTAATAGGGCGAAATCCATGTTTAAGTGCAGCTTCCCAAATTTTCTTGAACTCAAAAATATCATCACCACACTCATGCACATTCCATCCTTCCAATGCATGCAATATTCCCGCCACGCGCCAAGCGCTCATCGCTCTTCTCGGCAGCCAATTCTTCGAGAAAAAAAAAATCAAGAAACTTATATATTTATTTAAAAAAAAATAATAATTTTGCAATGATTGTATTAATTAATTTACCTCACAAGAATTAAGATTCTTAAGTGAAGGAGGAGCTATCAAAGACGGAGTTTGACGGTAGACGACGTCGTTTCGCGCTTTCTTCGGAGGGAATTGAGAGAATGGAATGAATAAAGTCCCTTTTGGTGCCTTCTTTTGTTCATCTTCTGTAAATCCATCTCCAACTATCCATATCTACAAACACATTTCATTTATTTAAAAATATTTATATTAAAAAAAAATCAAAAAAAAGTATTTCGTCTTTTTTTTTTTTTTTTTTTTATTTACCATTTGAGTGTAATTTTCGGAGGTCACAACTTTAGTAGCATGAGGCATTGTGGACAATTTAAGCTTCTCGTTTTCGTAGAACGTCGCAACCTAGTACGGAATCGAACTTGTTAACTAATTACACTTAAAAGAAATTAATAATTATTAATTACAACAAGAGATAATTAATTAATTAAATTACCTTAATGCCCTGCTGGCACAAAGCAGAAACAATGGCAAATGCAATTTTGGAGAGGCTGCCTCTAAATAGTATTTCAGTTGTGCCTTTAGGAATGCTGTTTAGTACAACCGCAACCGCTAAACTACTTCCGTCGACTATTTTCGTTTTCATCTTAGGATGTTTTTCGACGAAAAGTTCTCCTCTTCTATTAAGTTCTTCACTCTGCAAAAAAAAAAAATAATAATTAATTAATTAGTAAATGAAATAAATCGAATTTGACGAAATAATATATATAATGTGAACTTGCCTGGTTGAGTAGGCCTAGGCTTATAACCTTGGCGCCTCGTGCGTCAGCTTCGAGTATTGCTTCTTCGATTAATCCGTTAATCGCTTTTCCTTGCCATTTGAGCGAATACTACATATGTAATTAAAATAGTAAATTAACCGTGTAACGATTATAGAATTCACGGCACAATTTTTTATTGCGTTGATTTTTTTTATTTTTTATTTTTTTTACCTGGATAGAATATCGAGGGATCGCCCAAGATTGGAGCTTAAGTTTCTCGAACAAATTTCTCTCGACGATAAATGTTTTGCCGTAGATGTAATTGAACGTGACGGACCAAAATGTGAGTGGCCACATGTACCACTTCGATTTTTGAGGCTTGGAAGCGAACGAGGCAAATCCCACTTGCAGATGGAAGATAGAATCCGGTGTGGTGAGGTGCGTTATATGTACCACGTCCGGAGAATCCTCCTTTCTCTCCAGTGAGGTTTCGTACAGTGCGTCGGTTGACTTGTCCATTGTACCGTGTACGTAGTCGTAGAACGGCATGAATAACGAGTAGTTTGTCCGAAATTGCGTGTGGTGCAACGAGTGAAACCTAGTACACATTCTAATAAGATTTTTTCCGAAAAAAAAAAGAAAGAAAAACATGTACGAAATATATATATATAGATATACTTACGAAGGGGTGTACATCAAGTACTTGAGAGGAGGGAAAATCGAGAAGATCCATTTCGGAACGAGCTCGAAATTGCAGTGTCCCATATTGTTCATAAGATCAATGTAAGTGATGTAACCAAATAGGGAGATAATTGAGGCGGTTCTCGTAAGAATGGTTGCGAACATCGGGATCGCGAACAGGGCGAAATACGATAGGTGCTCGGCGAATGGGTGTATGACAGCTGTCACAACATCAAAATTAATTATATAGTAATATAATTGTTAGAATCTGTTGTGTCTCGTATAATTCAGTTTTTACAAACTGTTACAACGCTTTACGCAACAGTAACGAAAAACCTGATCAATCTGACACAAATAATTAATATTTGCACGAAATAAATTCTAAAAAAAATAATATAATACGAGTATTAATTTGTTGTTCGTACATGTGATTGGTTCGGTGACGATGGACGAATGGTGGTGGGAATGATATCTGGTGTAGAGAAAATGGTGGTGCAATCCTCTGTGGAGCCAATAGTAGAGATACTCCACTGGACCAGCATGAAGCAAAATTGTGATAATTATGCCATCATTTCTCCAAATTGGCAAAAATGATGCACTTCTTAGTGTTGAGTTGAAAAAATAGAACAATATTCCACTAAGTAGAATGTTGTCATCCCTGCAAATACATACACACAAATAATAAATTTAAAAAAAAAAATCGGGTTTTTTAGTATTTTGATTCGAATAATAGTTGTCGGTTCGGGATCTAGTATTGAATTCATATATAGAATATTAAGCGCTAAGAAATAATCTTTTGAGTGACCGATCCTTAGGCGAAATAATATGATCATTATGTTTTCGATTAATGTTAAGCAAGATAAACCAAGATAACATAGTATTTGCTGGTTGACCCCGCAAGTTATTCGCCAAACATCAAACAATGTTCAGTTGTTTAGTTAATAATGGCTAATCTCCCTAACCAAACGAGACCTTAATTTACTAATTTCTATATAGTGAAATTTGGTTGAGTATAATATCTCATCAAACTTAAGTACAAAGTAATTAATATTGATTTTTTTTTTGTGTGGGGGAATTAAAAACGGAAAACGAGAATTAATACGAACCAGTTGCTTTCCCTGTCGACCTGTTCGAATTCGATGGTCCTATCGAGGATACGGTTGTTGCCTTTAGCGGTCCGGTGACGAGAAATCGAAATCCAGATTTGGTTGTGGAGGATTCTTGATACCATAAATGGAATTACCAACAAATTGATGTAGTCTCTTTCTTTCTCTCCATTCTTGTTTTTTGCAATTGAGTATATGCTTTGCATTGCCCATGGAGCCAAGATCATGTACTTGAATAGCAAATTCAAAAAAAAATTAAAACAAAATTAATTTTTTTTTTTAAATATAAAAATATTAATAAATTAAGATATCATAGGAAAGGTATTAATAATGACTCTTTTTCTGACAATTATGAGAAAGTAGTCAAATCATCGTACATGGGTTTGTTTTGTTTCCACATGATTTTAAAAGAAAGTACAACTGAGTTTTATGAACCATCACCACCACCACTACCACCACCACCACCACCGCCACCACCGTACCCAGAGAAGAAGTATAGTAAACTATAAGAATAGCAAGATCAGGCACTTGTTTATATATATGTCGGTTTCTTCCCAAAGAAAAAATGGAAAAAATTGCTAAAAAGGACAGAAAATATATAGAGAAATAATAAAGAGACATAAGTACCTTGAAACTTCCGAGATGTTTCCATGGCCAATCTGTAAGCACTCCTGGTTTTGTTGCCATTTTTTTCTGGCCTGTAAATATTTTATATGTATGTATATATATTTTGGTTGTAGATGGATGCTACTTGCTAAAAGCTGAAAAATGAGCCCTTCCCATGTGGTATATATATATATATATATATAGGTCATAATTAATAAAGAATAATAAGATGGTTTCACTGTCAACACACTGTGCAAAAGAGAGTATTGGACAGACAAGTAATTTAATTATGGTACTCGAGATTTTCATTTGGCATTTCCAAAAGATTTTGAAAAGATATTATTGTATGAGTTTTCTTGTTCTATATATTTGTTTTAATTTTAAATAAATTGATTTAAGAGGGTGTTCTGATAAATTTATAAGATTTTCAAAAGTGTTTGGTAATTATTTTTAAAAGTCTTTTAATATTTTTAAAACTTTTTAAGATATTTAAAATGTACATTCAGGTAACATTTTTATTTAAAATCTTATAATGAGTAAAATGTACAATTACGTTAAATTACGGCCACCCACTGACGTAAGTTATAATTACAAAAAACAAAACACTCTTGATTGCATAATTACAACCACTCCTCTCAACTATGTATTTATTGCCTTATAATGTTAAATTTACCAATTAAATGTTAAATACACCCAGTTGGTAAACCGATTGAATCGAACTAAACGTAAACCGTGCATGCCGATTATCGAACCGTTAATTTGGTGTGGTATTTAGTTTATTTTATTTTATTTATATATATTTATTTTATTTACAATTTTACAGAATGAACGCCCTTAAAATTATCAACTAGAGGGATTTTTTGTAACATAATACATGGTTGAGGGGTGCTTGTAATTATGCAAACATGATAGTTTTTTTCGTAATTTGACCTTACTTCGGGGGTTGGTTGTAATTTGCCCTAAAAAATTAGATGTTGAAAATTAATATTTCATAATATTTACAAACACCTCAAGTTTTAAATAATTAGGGACGAATTTGTTTCTTTTAATACCAAATTATTATTGCTATATATAAAATCTAATGCTTAATTGTTCTTCAAACCAATCCTACAATTTTAGGTTTAACGAATTTCATGAAAAGGTTTTTTAGGAGATCACCAAATGGGGGATCACTATTTCAAATCCCAACTTTTGCTTACTTGAATACCATAAACATTAAAAATAAATAATTAATTGTAAATTACTTTAATACCCTTAATGAAATTAAAACTAAAAAAATATTACAAATACTATTTTTCTTTCTTAGATACCAAATAATCAAAAACTCAAAAAACCATTTGCCTCCTTCTCCACGTCCTTCTTGTCCCTCCCCTAGAACCCTTCTAAAAAATCTTACTCCCAACAAACCCTTCTAAGAAATCTCACAACAAACCCTTCTAATAAATATCAAAACTAAAGAAATTAAAACCTCACAAAACGTATAAAATTGAGTTATAAGACAATAATATGGTAGTATATATGAAAGGAGAACACATTAAGGTAAGTATCGATGTCTTTTTTGAGCTTCGAAGTCGATTTTGAAGTTTTTTTTTTTCTGAAACCCGTCGGCAATTTTCGACACATACAGGTCGATTTTTTGGTCAATTTTCGACATGTCTTAATACT